ATTTGCATATTGTGCTGATTAGCCAATTGGAGGCATAGTGAAGGTATGGTCAATTACCATGTTTGTCTATTATTAGATAGGATAGTTGCTCTTTCTGCAAGAAGTGCATTTTTAATAGTTTACAGAGCCCTTGGTGCTCTTTCTTTAAAAACATATTTTTTATTGTTTTTTTACAGAAAGGAAGGGAGAGGGATAGAGAGTCAGAAACATCAATGAGAGAGAAACATCGATCAGCTGCCTCCTGCACACCCCCCACTGGGGATGTGCCCACAGCCAAGGTACATGCCCTTGACCAGACTCAAACCTGGGACCCTTCAGTCTGCAGGCTGACGCTCTATCCACTGAGCCAAACCGGTCAGGGCAAGAAGTGCATTTTTAAGTTAACCACTAGAAATAGGAATTATCATTTTTAAACATTCACTGTGTGTCAGGAATTCTGCTGAACACTTCATATCCATATGTTTATTCTTTGTAATAATTTAGCAAAGCTGTGCTGTTCCAATTTTCCAGATGAGAAAACTTAGGGTCACAGAGGTTAAGTAATTTATCTGAGGTTACCCAGTTAAAAAGGAGTGAAACATAACCTTTAATCAACACCTTCCTGTACTGCTTACAGATTAAATCCAAACATGTTAGCAAGGCATTTAAAAAGCCTTTGCAGTGGCCCAAGCTGCCCCTCTATCTCCATTTCCCTCCCTATACTTCAGCCCATCTATTGCTGCCTCATCAGCACGTCCAGCAATGGCAAACCTTTATACCCTATTTCATGCTGTCTCCCCATCCGTGCCTCATAAATCCTACTCATCCTTCAAAGCTCAGTTGAAATGCTATGGTCTCCCCCACAAAGCTTTGATTCTCTGATTCCCCCCACCTATGTGACCTGACACCTCTGTAGAGATTTATTTCATTTGTCTTTTATTGCCATATATAAATGCCCCAGGTTACACTTCTTCAAGGACAGGGCCTAAAATATTTATCTTACGTCACTTACTCAACCTAGAACAATGCACTTAACAGCTTCAAAAGTATTTGTTAGTCATGCATGTTCATTGTTTGCAGTGATAGAAAGTGTATATATATTTTTAATTTGTCTTTATTGTTGAAAGTATTACAGATGTCCCCTTTTCCCTCCATTGACGCCTTCTAGCTCGCACCTGCCCACCTCCCCCGACTCCCCGCCCCAGGCCTTCACCACACTATTGTCTGTGTCCTTGGGCTATGCATATATGCATATAAATTCTTCAGTTAATCTTTCCCCTCCCACCCCTCCACCCCCACCTCTGAGATTCGTCAGTCTATCCCATGCTTCTCTGTTGGATCTATTCTGTTCATCAGTTTATTTTGTTCTTTAGATTCCACATATGAGTAGGATCATGTGATACTTGTCTTTCTCTGACTGGCTTATTTCGCTTAGCATGACTGTTTTACATAGTGAACATGCAATAAATACTTCTTAAATTTAAAAAAAGTATTGTTTGAAAAGCGAAAAAAAGAAATGCTCACTTTCCTAGCCAAGTACCATAAAAGTCCTTACATCCTTTAAATATAATTCTACTTCTGAGAATTCATCTTAAGCAACTAATTCAACAGAAACAAATAAAAGCAACATGTCATTAGAGCATGATTTTACATAATTCTATACACTCTTATGTAATCAGGAACAAGTGTATTTATGAAAATTATATAGAAATATTTGACAGAATAGTAAGTGAGAACAGATACTATAACTACAATACTCTATAATATGTATTCATTCACAATAAATATTTATTGAGTATTTCAAGGAGCTTACACTCTAATAGGGGATGACTGACAATAAGCAATAAATTAAGTAAAATAGATTATACAGTTATATAGCAATAAGTGGGGTGGAGAAAAGCAGGCAAGGGCAATAAGGAGTGTTTGGGTGGGGTTGCTATTTGAATGAAGATAGCTAGGGAAGGCCTCCCTGAGAATAGAGGTTTGAAAAAAACCTGAAGGAGGTTAGATACTCATGAAAAATAAGGACACATGAAAGGTCGTGCTAAGCTTATAGAATTAGGCAAGTTCTGTTATACATTTGTGTAAAATGTTTGCTTCTTAATTATAATTTTATTGTTTTCAAAACTATTACAAAACAACTAATAAACACACCAAAGTTCTGCTAAGAGAAAAACAAAATAAGCAAGTTCAATGAACAAAGGGAAAGACTCTCAACTAACCCTCTGCTATCCACCCCATTAAATGTAAACCTTGGTGTCCCACTTCTAAAACAACTTCTCCAACCTTACCTGTCACTATTCCCCAACCTTCTACTTAAATCAAGATAATATGCCAAGCTTTCTGACATCCCATGCCTATTTCCAGAATTTATCTCACTTGAAATATCTACCTTCTACATATGCAAATCCCATTCCTTCTTCAAATCTCAGTATCTCTAGAAAAACTCCAAAGAGTTAGTTATGTAGATTATTCCGTTTCAATTATCCTTACCTTTAAACAGAGATGAAAATAACAAGAGACCTTCTCACTACAGGCAGGGAGACAGACAAGTTGCAGACAAGCAGTAATTTGCTGGGGCAGGTAAGAAGGAGAGGAATGAAGTGTGAGAACACAAAGGAGAGAGCGTTTAATTCTGCTCCAGGTCAAGTAAGAGATCTAGAAAACTTCAACGAGAGTGACCTGGTTAGAAGTCATGGGAGGTACATGGAGGATATTCGACGAAGAGAAAACAGCCTGAGCAAAGATGGAGAGAGCCATGAAAATTAAAACGCACGGTGCTTTGAGGGCATTGTGCATTAGAGGGAATTTCAAATGCAATAAAACTGAAAAGGAAAATCCAAAAGCGTAGTGCAAAGGGCCTTGAATGGCACACCGCCTAAATCCCTTCGATTATGGTAAAGGTAATGGCAAGTCACGTAAGGCATTAAACTGGAGTTACTGACTTTTGTTTTTTAGAAGGTAACGTGGCCTCCTAAAGAAAGGCTGGACTGGAAAGAGAAGGGACAGCAGACCAGTTAATACATGGCAGGTGTTCCATAAATGTCTATTAACTGGATGAGACTATCACACCGAGAAGAGAGAATTCTTTCAGTCTCCACATTTACAGGCAGCCGCACGCAGTGGGTGCTCAATTGTTCTCCAGTTGCTTTGAATATATTAGTTTCCCACTTTCAAGATCATAAAATTTAGTAAAGCAGAAAGGTGACGAAGAAACATGGCTCCAGGGTCAGACTTGGCTGAAGTCCAAGTCTGATAATTGCTAGGTTGTGGGATTGTGAGCAAGCTACTTAATTTCTTTGTGCCCCAGTCTCCTAATCTATTAAACATAATATTATATACCCCTCACAGGATTGTAGAGGATTAAAAATGAGATGGTACCAACACAGTCCCTCGCACATAGTAAATCCTCAATAAATACTATATTTCTTATGAACTGTATTTGGTGCTCGGGATTACACTAGCACACTAAGCACAGAATAAGGTACTCAGTACTGTGTCCAACCATTTATTCAATCTTTGACAATCACATTTTTCTATAAACTTTCTATAAAAGCTTTAAACTTTCCCCCACATTGACATAGGTTAATTACATTCAGGCCACATGGAAAATAACTTCTTTTTAAAAGCAAGGCAACTGAGAAAGGGAAGAGCATGCTCCTAACAGCTTTTGAAAAGCAGTCTACACAGAAGTCACTTTGACAGGTGTCTGAAGAGCGATGGTCACTGTGTAACCTTAACAAACCCAAAGGCAGAAACCAAGTACAGGGTATCAATAACGGAGCACGGGGCCAGAAAGATGCTGGACACGAGTGACACGCTCCAGTAAGGCACGGTGGTTTTTTGTTTTAAATCGTACCAAGTGAGCTCTAGTCTAGAGAGTACTATTGCTTAAAAAAAAAATCGTGGTGACATTAACAGTTAAGAAAACTCTACCCAGCGATCTGCAACACGAGGAAAAGCACGCTAGGGGCCGGCGGTCGGGAAAGCTGGTTTGGGCCACCGGAGGGACAGCTCAGGGCTCCGGGGTGACGGGACCCAGGCGTTTCTGCAACGGCGGCAGCAGCGGCGGCGCC